CTCTTTAAATAATGCTTTTGCTCCATTAACTCTCCTTTCTGGAAATCTAATTACATAACTGTGTGACTTTTCCACCACATATCATATGTGCCCCGTGTTGTTGTCTATGTCTTCTACCCACTTCTCACTCTCAGTTTTAATCTGGCTATTATCTTCCAGCTCATTATCGCTTTACATCTGCCTATTTGCTATTAAATGCATCTCTATAGTTTCAATTACTATAGTTTACATTTAAAATTTTTTTATTTCATTCCTTATTTTCTATTCTCTGTGTTGTTTTTTTTTCTTGTTATTTATTTCCTTGAATGTATTAGGTTATACAATTAAATTAAAACCAGTGTTTGATAACTCTAATTTTAGCATTTCCCTGTGATTTTGATTCCACTATATGTTATTCCTACTATTTTTGGTCATTTGATCTTGACTCCAATTACTGTATATTCCTGGTAATTTGATATTTCATGCTGGACATTATATACAAAAACTAATAGAGGCAGTTTGCATTTGAGTATTTTAATACCTGATAGTAATAGTATTACTTTTACACAAAATCTGCTCTCTCATTCTCTCTCTCTACTTTTTTTTTTTTTGAGAGAGAGAGAGAGAGAGTACACATGAGTTGTGGGGAGGGGCAGAGGGAGAAAGAGAGAGAAAATCTTAAGCAAGCTTCTCAGCCTGTGTGACGCCTGATGCAGGGCTCAATCTCACAATCCTGAGATCATGACCTGAACTGAAATCAAGAATCAGATGCTTAACCGACTGACCCACCCAGGCACCCAACAAACTTGATAAATTTTGTAGCTAGCTTCACCTCTTAATGCCTTCTCATAAACCTTGGTAATATTATTTGTTTACTAGAATAATTTTATAGGGTTTTAGGCTAAGATTTATCAAGAACTGACATCTTTATGATTTTCAGTTTTTCCATTCAGAAATATAGCATAACTCACTATTAAATTTTTCTGTTATACCTCTTTTTAATTATTATGTTAAGTTAGCCACCATATAGTACATAATTAGTTTTTCATATAGTGTTCAGTAACTCATTAGTTGTGTATAACACCCAGTGTTCATAAGGAGGGCACAAGTTGTGATGAGCAATGGGTGTTATACCTCTTAGTAAAGTTTCTCCTTTGTACATTCTGCACATTTTCTCAGGATTATTAATGGATACTTTATTTATTTGTCTTGTGTTCTTAGAATAGAATTTTATTGTTAATTATTTTGACTATTGCTGCTGGTATCCAAGCCTATTATCTATTTTATATTCGGTAAGTTTTGTTAAGGGTTATAGTTATTTGTTATGGCTTGTTTGAAGTGCAGAATTTCTTAGAGACACTAATATTCCAATATGTACTGTCAATATCCATGGTGTTGATTTAATATGTAACATTTCCAGTTATGTGTTCTGGAAAACTTTTATTTTTTTTATTTATTTTTTTTTAAGATTTTATTTATTTATTTGAGAGAGAGGGAGAATGAGAGATAGAAAGCACGAGAGGGAAGAGGGTCAGAGGGAGAAGCAGACTCCCTGCTGAGCGGGGAGCCCGATGTGGGACTCGATCCTGGGACTCCAGGATCATGACCTGAGCCGAAGGCAGTTGCTTAACCAACTGAGCCACCCGCGTGCCCCTGGAAAACTTTTATTTTTAACATACCATTTAAGATTAATATTTCATGGAACATGTATTCTGTGGACCCTATTCAGAAAATGTTTCAACAGACCTTTTCACTGGAATGATTTATGGTCCTTTATGATTTAACCATTAACAAATGAAATCCCCACCTTGCAAATCTGTGATATACTACAGTTTCTATCTGAGATTATACACATATCTTTAGCATGTTCATTCTGTTGCTTTATATTTTAACTCTTTACAAATGTTTGAAACTAAGATCAGTCTAGATTATGAATTATGTTGACCTTAACTCTTTCCAGACTATAGAAATGCAATGCTGCCATGAATGTGACACATGATACTTCATACTCAATTTTTATACATCAATCACAGGAAATACCACTAATCAATCACAGAGCCCTTTCCTTTTGATTCAAGATGTAGCCTCAGAATCCTTTACAATTATGTTTTATAGGAAGATATAGAAAGAGGTCAGAAGTGATGCACAAGATAAAAATTGTGCTATTCTTGCAATAATGTTTGTCCCTTAGATGACTGTTATTAAATTGTTTTATTTTCTATTTAATAAATACCATTAATGTTTGGATTCAAATCTAAACAATTTTATTTATTTATTTATTTATTTATTTATTTATTTATTTATTTATTGACAGAGTGTTTTGGGGGGCAGTGGAGCATGGCAGAGGGAGAGGGAGAGAGAAAATCTCAAGCAGACTCCATAATGAGCACAGAGCCCAATGTAGTGCTTGATCTCACAACCCTGAGATCATGACCTGAGCCAAAATCAAGAATCAGATGCTTGGGGTGCCTGGGTGGCTCAGTCTTTAAGTGTCTGCCTTCGGCTCAGGTCATGATCCCAGGATCCTGGCATTGAGCCCCGCATTGGGCTCCCTGCTCTGCAGGAAGCCTGCTTCTCCCTCTTTTACTCCCCCTGCTTGTGTTCCCTCTCTCTGTGTGTCTGTCTCTGTCAAATAAATAAATAAAATCTTAAAAAAAAAAAAAAGAATCAGATGCTTAACTGACTCTTGATTAAGCATCACCCAGGCCACCTTGGCATCCCAAATTTAACCAATTTTATAAAAATTAAGTTTACTTTTTCACCTCTAGTCCTCTGACATTTTCTGTTTTGTTTTGTCTTGTTGTTTTGTTTTGATATGTTAACTTTCCTCTTCTTGATCGATTAATTTTGATTCATTTCTTGGTTCACTAACATGAATTTTTAGGCCATTATTAAAAAGTTATGAAAGTGGTACATTTTCCTTGAATACTTGGAAATGTCTTTTTATAGGCTTCATACATGAATAAAACACTTAGTGACACATCACATTCTTAAGTCATATCTTTTGCATTAGAAATTCTGTAGATGCTGTTTCTGCTTTTTTCCCCTCATAATACTGTTACAGAGGAAAGCTGTGAAATAATGATATGTATTAAACATTTGTGGGTAATCAATTTCTTCATTTTTTTCTTTTTTTTTTCTTGATACTTACAAGAGTTTTTGTTGCTACCATTGTCTCTGTAATTCAAACATCTTACCAAGGTAGGTCTGGTAGATTTCTGTTCATTAAGGTTGCATGAATATCAGTGCACTCCTATATTAGTTCAGAAAAATTTTCATCAGTTTTGACTTTACATATTACTTCTGTTCTATTGCTTTGTTTTCTTCCCCTAGAACACCTATAATGCATGGCCAGCCTTTTGTCTCTATCCTCCAGAATTACCATTTTCTCTCCACTTTTTCATCTCTTTGCCCCTCTCTTTAGAAAGCTAGTAAAGTTTCTCCTGGTTTCCACTTCACATCATTGATCCAATTTTAAACAATGTGAGACTTGTTCTTTACTGATATACAACCAATTTTTAGAATGCGTGGGTTTAATTGGGTACAAGAGTCAATAAGCCCTAAACCCTGTCTTCAAAATATTGGTAGGAATAAAAAAAAGAAATATACATGCAACCCAACAAATAGATTCAACAAAGAAAGAATCTCAATAAACAGACATAAAATATTTCATAAAAAAAAACCTAATGGAAATTCTGGAGTTGAAAAGATAGTAATAACTATCTTTTCCCTAAAGGGAAATCTTCCCTAAAAGGTTAAACAGCAAATTGAGATGGTAGAAAAAAGATTCATTAATCTTCAAAACAGAGCAATAGAAATTATTCAATATAACAAAGATAAAAGATTAAAGAATGAACAAACTCTCAGGGACCTGTGATACAACATCAAGTATATCAATATATGGGTAATGAGAGTCCTAGACAAATATGAGAGAGGAAAAAAGAACATTAAAATTATTTGAAGACATAGTGGCTAAAAACTCCCCAAATTTATTAAAAGTATTGATCTACAGACCCAAGAAATTCAATAAATTCTGAGTTGAGCAAACACTAAGAGATGTACACTTAGACACATTTAAATTTTTAAAAGACAAATATGAAGAGAATTTTAAAAACATCAAGAGAAAAAGGACTCATAATGTACAAGAGAAAAATAAACAAAGATATCTTCTCATCAGAAACAACAGAGGTCAGAAAGCAATGAAAGGAAATATTCAAAGTGCTAAAAGAAAAACTCTCAAACCAAGAATTACACACCCAGTAAAATTATCCCTAAAAAATAAAAGAAAAAAAATAAAAAGCATTCCCAGCTGAAGGAAGACCATAAGAATGTGTTGGTAGAAGATCTGCCTTACAAGAAGGGCTTAAAAATCTTTCCAGCCAAAAGGAAGTAGCACCAGAAAGTAACTCAAATAGAGATGAAATAATGAACACTAGAAAAGATAAATATGTGGATAAATACAATACACTCTACAAACATACTTTTCTCATTACTTTTCTTAACTTCTCTAACAGACATAAGATACTGTAAAAGGAGGATTGAGTAAAAGGAGGTGTGTATATTGTAATCCCTAGTATAATCACTAAGAAAATAAAATTTTAAAGTGTAGTAAAAAACAGAGAAGTTAAAATAGTGCATTAAGAATATTTATCTCAAGGCTCCTGTCTCACTCAGCCAGTAGAGCATTTGACTCTTGATCTCAGGGTCATGTGTTCGAGCCCCACATTGTGTACAGAGATTATAAATAAATAAACTTTAAAAAAAGAATATCTTTTTTTTATCTAATGGAGGAAAGTTTGAGTGGAAGCAAAGTGAAGGGTACAATAAGAACACAAGAATTAGTCAGGACAGAAAAGCCCAAGTGACATACAGAAGTGACAGAAGCAGAGAGATCCCAGGGGCCAAGGTGCCAGAAGTCTCTTCAGGAGATGAGGTCATCTCTGGTAGGACAACCAGTCCAGAGTTGGCTTCCAACACCACAGAGTTTCTTCAGGCCAGATGACTTCAGCTTCTTGAGACAGCCCCACTGTCTAGCACTGCAGCCTTCTCTTCAGAGCCTCTGGAGCCTCTGTCAACCAGGCTTCCTCCCAGGGCCCAAACCCCTGGCCTCAGGCCCCATCAAGATCCCCACAAGACTGGACTGAGGCACTATGTGAAACTCTTTAGCTTCTGCACTAAGATGCCCATGGAGAATAAGGCTCTAGAGATGGTGGAAGAGTGCCTGGACAAGTATTTCCAGCATCTTTATGAAGACCTGGAGGTGTTTGCTATGCATGTTGGCTGCAAGACTATGAGGCCAGAGGACCTGGAACATCTGATGCAATGGCAGGGCCTGGTCAATGACCAAGTCTCCCTATATGTGCTTGTGGAGCAGCACCTGCCCCTGGAGTACTGGCCGCTGTTCATCCCTTGTGCATTCACTGGCAACTCTGTCTTTCCTGCCCAGCAGTGGTCAGGCCTCAACACCCACCCAGTGCCCACCTGTGGTCACTTGGCTCCACGTATTCTTCCAGGCTTCCTCCCCACCTCCCCAGCATCAATACAGTGAATTAAAAAAAAAAAAAAAAAAGAATATTTATTTAACACAAAAGAAGGCAGTATGAGAGGAACAGAAGAACAAAGACATGAGACAAGTAGAGAACAGATCTTCAAAACTGGCAGTCATAAATCCATCCTTTGAATGAATACATTAAATGTGAATGGATGAAACACCCCAGTCGAAAGGTATGAATTGTCAGGCTGGATTTAAAAAAATGAGACCCAAATATGTGCTGTCTACAGAAAATGCACATTAGATTCAAAGAGACATATAGGAAATCAAAAAGATGAGAAAAGATATAACATGCCAATAACCATGAAAACAATGAGATGACTTTACTAGGAACAGATAAAATAGACTGCAAGAAAAAAGAATAGAGTTAAAGACAAGGAGAGATATTTCATAATGACAAAAGGGTCAATACATAAGGAAAGTATAACAATTATAAATGTATATGCACTTAATAACAGAGTTAAAAACATATAAAGCAAAAACATACAGCAATGAAAGGAGAAATATTCAATTTGTCAATAATAGTTGGAAACTACAATGACCCTATTTCAATAACTGATAGAACAATTAATCAAGAAATTAGCAAAAAATATGCAAGATTTGAACAGCATTCTCCACCAACTCAAACCAACCAGCACTCACAGGACACTCTTAACTGACATTTGCATTCTCATGGAATGCAGAGAACATATTATTTTCAAGTACTCATGAAATATTATCCAGGATAAACCATATTCTGGGCCACAAAACAACTTCAATAAATTTAAAAATTGAAATCATATAAAATATGTTCTCTGAGCACAATAGAATTAAATGAAATCCATAGCAGAAAGAAATCTGGGAAAACCCCAAACATTTGGAAATAAAGCATCATAACTTTAAACAACCAGTGGGTGAAAAAAAAATCACGAGGGAAATTTTAAAATATTTTTAATTTTAAGAAAACGAAAACACAGATATCAAAATTTATGGGATACAGTTCCAACAATGCTTACAGGGAGATTTACATCTTTAACATGTATATGAGAAAAGCAGAATGACATGAATAACTAAGCTTCTGACTTCAGAAACTAGAAAAAAGGAGAGCAAACTAAACTCAAGTAAGCAGAAGGAAGAGCTCTTGCCACGTGATGACACTATCCTGGGCATCGAGGGGTTTCATGGTGTAATCCAGGATGGAATATAAATCATGGATCTGTGCACATTTTCTCCAATGGGCCAGGGAGAAGAGTTTCAGCTCTTTGAGCTGTAGGATCTCTATGGCAGCTACTCAACTCTCTGAAAGCAGCCATAGAGAACTGCTTATAAATTAAGGACCATCCTTAGCTTACAGATGGAATACAAAAAGGCAGTTAGCCAAATTTGGCCCATGGGCCAGTTTTTGCATCTCTATATAGATGATAAACTGATTTTTTCTAAAAAAAAAAAAAAGAAGAAGAAAGAAAGAAGAAAGAAAAAGAGAGAGAACGAAAGAAAGAAAGAAAGAAAGAAGAAAGAAAGAAAGAAAGAAAGAAAGAAAGAAAGAAAGAAAGAAAGAAAGAAAGAAGAAAGAAAAGAAATACACTGTAAGCATTGAGCCCCATAGAGAAAAGGGTTATATCTTTTCAGGTCTGTATCTCTCATCAGTAGATACATGTGATAACACAAAGTGTGGACATCCTGGGGAATCTCTAGGATGAAAAAGGAGAACCAGGTGGCTTACCAGTAGTAGCAGTTTCCAGAAATGTGATTTTTTAGTTCTGGTAAATCCAAGAGGAAAAGGACTAAAGGTGGAATCTGACATATAGTTTGTGCCTACTATACGTACATTATTTCATTAATCTTCACAAAACCCTCCATTTCACATGTACCGAAACTCAGGTTGAAAGAAGCTAAGTAACATGCATAAGATCCCATAAATAGTAAGAAGCCAGAGCAGGAATGGAAGAGGTTTGTAGCTCCAAAGCTCAAGGTTTGTTTTTTGTTTTTTTGTTTTGCCTTGCTGGCCATGATCTCATACTTGGCTGTTTCTACCACTGCTGTTCCTGGAACTTCTCTTTCAATATTATTAGTACATACAGATCACAACCTCCTCATAGGGGAACCATAGCCTGGATTCTAGCAACTGCTCTGCATCACTTCCTACAGGTCCTCCTAGCGGTCACTCAACATGATGAGCCTCAAAGTTACCAGCTGTTTAATGGGCATATCTTGTATCAGTGGGCATATCAGGAAGATTAGGGAGATAATGGGAGTGAACTTGTTCTGAAAAGTACCAGCCATTATACAAATCGATGGTGGCACTTTTAATCATCGCTAATTGGCTTCAGCCTTGTTTTTTCTTTTCCGGAAATGCACACTCGTTTGTGAATCAATCACTGTGCCTTATAAGCATGTGCAAGCTCTTTCTACAAGCAGTGCGTGACTGGTTGAGGCCCCAGTTTCTATGCAGGCCTGAGTGTGGGAGAGATCTGTATCTGTGGGTGTTCAGATATGTAGGACACCATGTTCTGTTGAAAAGTCGATCTTTTACTGTTTGGATTTTAACTTTTTATTTACCCCCCCAATAACTCCTTCTGGACAATATTTATTCCTGGAAAACTATGTAAAAAAATAGAGTAATCACCACCCCCTCCTAACTCACAGCAACATAGGTGGTAAAAACTCCTAAGAAAAGGAGATAGTGTGACTCTCTGCTTTGGAATCCAATGAACCTCAGAATGCTTAAACTTTTGGGTTAGATAAACATCAAGAAGTTGAATGCTTATCTGGAAACTTTGAACTTTCAGTGCCTGTTTGGGTAGGAAATATCATGAGTTTAAGTTTTGTTGCCCGAGTTCCAGAACTTCCTGATTTTTGAAGGGACCAGAAATTCTTTGAAAAAAAGAAAAAATAAAAGAAAGCCGCCATGGTGTCCAGCTGCTTTTGACAGGGAGCAGAGTGGAAAGAGCCAGACGGAAGTGTTCAGGAACCACTTCTTCTCTCTGCCCCCCAGCGAAGCCTGCCTCCGACGCCCCAGTCCCAGCCAGCTGCATCACCTACTGTTGGGGAAATTCTGGTTTTCACTGTACCTGGTGGTTATATCTTTCCTTGGAGGCAGGATAGTTCAGCAGGCAGCCCAGACCTTCTACCTGTTGAGTCTCAAATTCCTCATGGGAAAAATAGGAACAGAGATACCCACTTCACACAAGCCTCTCAGGGGATTATCCCTGGCTGCCATGATCCCAAAGCAGAATGGGAGGAGCGACGAAGAGCTTCCTCCTTTGTCTCCTGCCCTTCCTAGTAGTCTAGGGGAGCGAGCCAATGCATTCCCACTGGATCTGATTCCCTTCAGTAGGGGCACACCCACCAGAAGGTGGGCAAACAGAGGTGACCTGACAGAGGTCTACAGAGACCAATAGAAAGTGGCAGAGTGCTCTCAGCACAGATGATTTGTGTTCAACCACAAAAATTAGAGCTGAGCTCTCTTTGGCAGTTTCTGTCTTATGATCTAGTGTGTGAGTGTATACGACATAGACTATGCCTATTTTGTTCACCGCTGTGCCATCAGCCCTGGCATATTCCCCAGCACGCGGGAGGAACAATGTAATTATATAATGCTGGGGTTTTTTTTTATTTAAATTCCATTATTCAATGTATAGTACATCATTAGTTTTGGATATAATGTTCAACGATTCATTAGTTGTGTATAACACCCAGTACTTGTGGGTAATGCTGTTTTCACTGTGGATTGAAGCCCCATGGACGTAAGTGCCCTAAGAACAAATCTGCCTTTTTCTGCCTACACGGCCCCCCACTACAGGGTTTAGCATCTTACCTTCCACATAGCAGGTGCTCGATAAACACCAAATAAAGGGATGAATTGATTAAAACTTTGCACATCTAGTTAGTACTTCCTGATGAGCAAGCTGAAGAGAAAACAAACCTACGGCAAGTCCCCCTCCCCACAGGAAGATAAGATTCAGTAGAGCAGGGATGATACGGATTCAGGTACGTGTCAGTGCCACATAGGCGTGAAGATAGCAGATTCTGATGGAAATGAACCAAAGGAATGAGGGCAGAGGGAACCTTCTGGGGGATGGGGAGATTACACAAGCCTCCTAGGATGGGCTGTGGATACCAGAGAGGTAGGCAAGGGTGCTGTCATGTTGCCATGCCCTTGACCTGTCTCTTTCAATAACATTGCATGTACAAAGAAAAACAAACAAGGTCATGCAGAAATTAGCAGAGGCAGGATTTTAATCCAAATCTTCCTGACCCTTCAAGGAGTACTGCTTACTCTAGGTGAGAATTCCTCCCACTGGAAAATGGGAGGAAGGAATCAGCAGAGGGGGCATCAGGAGAATGCTCTACCAACCTGGAGTGGAGGGGGCATGGCAGGAGAATGCTCTACCAACCTGGAGTGGAGGGGGCATGGCAGGAGAATGCTCTA